AATTAAAAAATTTTAGAGTCTAAATCTTAAAATTCTAAACCTACTGGGATAAATGGTAACCGCATAATTTCTGCTGAATTGTAGAATTTGCTGAATTTCTGGAGAATTACAGAATTTGTTGAATTTTTGCTGAATTTGCTGAATAATATGTCAAACTTAAATGGTAACTGCGGAATCTGCTGAATATGCGGAATTTGCGAAATTTTGTTACCATTTAGACCCATAATAGGCAGATTAAATGCATTAACTAATGTTTGAAATAGTGGGTTTAAATTGCATTAACAAGTCATGATTGGTTACAAAAATAAATATTTTTAGTTTACCAAACAGTTTTTTTTTTGTTGTAATTATTACGGTACATCCACCTAAAAGAGTTTTGAAAAAAAAAAATATAATGAAAATTTGTGTGCCGAACAGCCCTTTTGTGTAGAACAAATTTTGTGTGAGTGATTGATGATGCCTTAAGCATATTTGCCATGTTCATCGTACTGAATGCGTCAGTTTAATATCGTTTTATACCATTGAATAGTAGATAACATTGATAAATACAAATTTCTTTATATTTTATGTTTACTCGGTTATCAAATCTGTAGCTTTCAGAGTCCAAAACTAATTAGTTTTTGGGGGTTAGTGTCTACAGTTAGGGCTACGGAGTTTAAATATATAAATTTCAAATGGATGTTTAATCTATGTAACGCGTCTACAATTATCCTTTTGACGCGTCTGATCAAATGAATAGTTTGATTATGATTAACTAAATTAAGTAAACTGACCGAGGAGTGTGACATATACGTGCACATGGCCTTTTAGGTGATAAATTATTAACTTTAATCAGAACTATAAAATATTAAGCAAACATAAATGGACTAATATGATTAGTGATTAGTGGTTTTAGTATGTGGGTCGTTCTTGCTTTGGAATGTTAACATCTAACTATTACAAATAGCAAAACATGTATTTCACTTTTGTCTCAAATATCAATGTGACTTTTTGTAGGTTTGTGTTTGTTTACGGAATATATATAAGGTAACTTATAAACTTAGCATCAAAATTATCAGATTGATTGGTATTTATGAAAATGATTAGAAGATATCTAAAAAGTTTTAAATTAGTAAACCATAAATCAGTTTTTAAAAAAACACTAAACGTATCTTCAACTTATATTAAACCTGTCATGGTCAAAGAGACAAGAGAAACAAATAAAGGTACCAACAAACCAAATCTTTAATTGTTCGTTCTGCAGCATTCAAATTTTTGTAATCACAAAAAGAAATTATCCAATCGAATTTTTAACTTTATTAATAAAATGTGAACCATTTGAAAAAGTACTGCTAGTGATGGTCTCGTAAGAAAAGGAAAACTTCCTAACACAATCTTTCCTTATCAACGAGGAAGGATAAGAATCAAGAGCCATTGAAAAATCGGAACAAAAACAAAATTGAAAAATCGGAACAAGATAGATCCACCAAAATATACTATACACACTGATCAAATCCTTTGAACAAATAATGAAATTTGAGTGAAACTTTTAGAAAATATTTGGTAATTTCCACGAAAGGCCTTTGGGTGCGCGTAGAAAAAGATTTCACGTATCAATTAAAGGCCCACATGTCACTTCATGCCGATCGAAAATTTCCTTGTACACATAAACATACTTTGTATGATACACATTATTGGAGCATCAACGACGGATGGAAATTCTATGAGTACGATATATTATTTTAATGATTTTGATTATCTATTTAATTTTTAAATAGTTCAAAGAATTTTAAACCAATAACATGTAAACAAGTTTTAAATAAGTTTTTAAAAAAGTGGAAGATTTTCTTATGCTATAACTATTCTTCTCTCTCGTTATAGACATGTCAAACGGACTATCCTGACCCGGTCCGGCCCAAAAACCGTAAAACCCATCTATATATAAGTCTAGACTGACTCGGCGCGAAAAATATTTGGTTTTATTTTTCAAAACCTAGTCCGGCCCGAACAAGGTTACAGGATTTTATCGGCTTTTTCGTATTTATATATAAAATAAAATTAATTAAAAACAAATATTATTAATTAAAATAAATCCAAATTTAAACAACTACCAATGTGTTTTTATCGAAATCCAATTTAACTAAAAGAAAAAGTGTGACCAAATTAATACAAACGTCAAATAAATTCAAATAACTATAAATAAATAGTACTATCAAATAAAATATAGGAAAAATACCAAAAGTCCAAATAGTAGAATAAGAGTTTTTTGTCAAAAAAATACATATATATATAAATTATTTTAACTAATTTATCTTTAAAAAGTATCTTTAAAAAAAAATTATTACTAAATTTATAAATTATATATTTATTTTCAGGTTTTCCGGGCCGACCCGAGTCCAACCGAAAGGCCCGATTTTTTTGGGCTTATATATTCAGGTCCGAGACCGATATTTTTAAGGACTGGATCGAGCCGGGATTCGAGTTTTGACCCTAATTGACATGCCTATTCTCATACCTTTTGGTTATTTTATTATTATTTTTTGTTAGAAACCCTTCAAGAAACTTTCCATTGGGATGCTTACGTTTTCACTGAATTTATATACGTTTCAGGGGTTGATTGGTTCACCCGCTATCACCCGCAAACGTTGCGTTTGCGGGCGGTAGCGGTTGTTGGCGTTTGACATCAATCATGGAAAACGCTTTATACCGCTCCATGTCGCTCCAAACCTCTCAAATCCAAAAATTGGTTCCCTCGAGCATTTGCGGTTGCGGTTGAATAATTACAAAAATAAGAATTATTTTTTTTTTTATAAA